GACACGAGGCTGAGAAGCCACATCTTGAAGGCAGCGTTTGTGTAACTGAAAGCCCCGTCAGAGGCTGGTCCTCGGGGTGCACAGAGACCCACTGTTAATCACAGCAGCCCACACGGCTCATGTTTCCTGCAGGTGGCCAGGCTACCAAATCTGCAGAAGCTTGGGGGGGAAAAAAACAAAACACATACATCTAACAAAGAGACATTCCTGGTTTTCAGGGGAATTTACTTCCCCATCCATTACAGGGAAAAAAACCAAAAAAACCTAAGAGACAGTCCTTCAGTTGACCATTTTTTTTTTTAATTCTTATTCTTAATGCAAGTGGATTGCAGAAACTTTTTTTTTAAGCTTGTAAAAGATACAGCAGGAAGTTTCTCAGCTCCAAAAAAAAGCCAACTACAGTATCCTCATATATAAATTACAACTTTACAGATCTAATATCTACATAAAATCAATATACAGAGCTGTGGATCAAACAGCATAAAGACTCTCCATCCTAGCTGTATGATTCATCAGAACACAGGGATAATTAAAGGGGCAAATGAATAATATGGACAATAAGCTCTGCAAACAATAGGACTCAGAATTATGAACATAAGACAACAGACCACATCATGTGCCTGTGCAAGTGGCTTCACAGACTGAGCAGAGCAATGCTGATTCACACCAGTCAGAGACGCAACTCGATTCCTTGTTTCTTTAAGATTTTTTGTAACAGCCAGCTCAAACCAGTAAGCCATTCCAATCCTAAACCTAAGCAGGGTGACACCTTTAACTGTATCACATTCATGCAACTTAAAAAAAACCTTTGACACACAACGAAGCAATGAGTGCTTCTTTCACAGAAGTCTGTGGTTGCAATGCAGCATCCTCACTGGAAGCAAACCCCTGTTATTCCAAGAGAGAGCAGTATTTAAACAAAGCCATTTGTTCTTCCTCTCCTCATGATGCTATCTTATCACAGTCCAAGTGTTTTATATCAGCACACTGAAATTATGTGTAATGAACAAGGATGTTCAAGATAAATCCTAAGAGTTACAAAGCAAATACTTCCTTTCTCTGTAAACAATATGACTGAACCCACTTCTTGAAGAAATCAAGCTATATTTATATTCACCCTCTTGAAATGCTACAGGCAGCCATAGAAGGATAAGTTTATAATAAATTGCTATATTTGGAAACCTTTGTTGCTAAGCATCTTCTAACATTCAGTACAGTTTATACCATTCATGTCCCTGCTACATAATTAACATTTCATATGTTTTTTGTTTTGTTTCGTTTTTTAAAGTGCAGTGCTTATCTTTGCTGATAAATTAAAAACATTATATTTTTTAGGGAATTAATAAAAGACCACATGGTAAAGTAAATAAAGGAGAAGCAACAGGATCTCAAGGGCATCAAGCACAACAATTAAGGCTGAGATAGATCCACAGAGTTGATGTCTGTCACCTTGTTGTCAACTCTTACAACAAATACTGCAAGTTTCATAGCCAGTGTTTTTCCTATAAAGTCACAGAGTTTTGTGGTTTCATTTTGTGAGAGGTTAGAACCGTTTCTTTAGTAGAAGAAAAAAAGGTATTGGAAAAAAAATCCACTAATATTTTATATACTCAGCAGATCAAGTAAAAACACTCTTAACTGATGACTACAAGCATCTCTATATAAAGGTGTCATGGGTTTTGGTCATAACATCCTGTCTGGAAAAGTCCAGAGCACACTGCACAGATTCTCCAGGTTTCCTGGCCACCTTTCCTCCCTGCCCACTCCAGCACACACTGCACCATAATTCTGTACACGACACATACATGGGGGCTGAGAAGCTTTGAGGGCAACCTGAACATTACAGCCTCCACAAACTTCCTAAAAACTTCCATGAATGTGCACAGAGCTGCTGAACAGAACAGAAAACCTGCCTGTCTGACCCCAGAAGTACCACTAAGCAAATCTTGCACCGGAGAACAAACAACTTCTGCCAAGAAAACAGTTGGAATATTTAATTCTACAACTGCTATTTACTTTTCACTAACATATGATCTTCAGAATTATATAGAAGACAAACTTCAAAGCTTTTGTAATGGAGCATCTTAGGAAACCTAACTAGAGACGCAAAAGGTTTGTCTGTCATAGCCCTACAAATACTACCTTTACCATCTTACAATAATTACTACACCCCTGGTTTATATAAGCAGTATATACACAATACATGTGTTAAAAAAACAGAGTTGAAGTAGAAAGATAAGGAATGATGAGTCCTCTGAAAGTGATCTAAACTTCGTATTGAGAATGTAAACATCTTTAGCTTGTAAACTTTCAGGCTTTCCAGCCACATATGAAATACCTAAAGATATAGAAGGGGTAAGAAAGACTTGAAAAAGTCTCCCACAGACCACAACAGCAACACAATCAGCAAGCAACGATAATCTCATACCAAAAACTGAACATGTTTTTCTGAGTTCTGAAATCCTTTTTCTGTACGTACGCACTCATCAACTGAAAGTGGCACAAGTAACCTCTAAATTTGTGCAAGAACTCTTACCAAGCGTTTTGGTAAGACCAACTCAATTGTAAGTTTGTACCCTGTTTTATGCTGTAACATATATGAAATACTATGTTCAGTTCTAAGCCCTACATCTCCAAAAGGTTATTGACAAACTGGAGGCAGTTCAGAGAAAATCAACATAATTTCTCAGAAGGCAGGAAGGACTTATTTATGAGGAAAGATTAAAAGAGCTAAATATTTATAGTTTGGCTCAGTAATGAATGAGGAGGTAGGGGACATGAGAACAGCCTAGAGATATCTGAAGGGTGTAAACACTAAGGAGGGAGAGCAAACGTGTTATACAAGGATGTAAATAGAAATAATGGGATAAAACTAAACAAGGAAAACTTAGGCTGAATATCAGAGAGCATTCTTGGACAGCAAGCAAGCTTGGCCTACAGCACAGCTTCTCAAGTGAAGCAACAGAAGCCCATTGCTGGAACAACACACCAGACCAGACAAAACACTGGAAAATGTGCCATATGGAATAATCTTGCTCTGCTGAGGAGAAATAGCATGTTATAAAACATAGCTGAACTTCAGTGAAAAGCTCTAATATTTTACAAGGTGTTGAAAATTTAACATAAAATATAGATACCAGGACCTTAATCAAAAAAAAAAGAATCTAAGAAAATTCCTTAAAAACGAGTTTATGCAATACTTTGACAGAATTTGCAACTCTTTGAAAAGGAAAAATTCACGTGGGCTGAAAAGACTTAAACGGCGCTGAACTGCATTTTCCCCAGCAGAGGTCACTCCAAGTTAAGAAACGACAAGGATATTTAACAGCATGGATTCCAACTTCAGGAAAGAAGATCAACAGAAAGGAGACATCCTTCTTCCCTCATTCCCAGCACTGCCTTTGGATGCAAAGCTCACAGATAACAGCATGTCCTGCAACCCACCACTGGCAGATGCCAACACATTACAACACGTGTAATGTTCAATCTGCACAACATTCAAAATTGATTTTCTAGAAGGGCCTCATGAAGTGGGTAAATATAATCTATTTGCAGCTGGATTATGAAGTGTCCAGAATCCATGTGCACATGTACAACTAAAGCCTAGGCTGGGTCATGTTTGGAATTGAAACCAAAACACTTTTCACTGAAAACTTCAGATTACATTAGTTAAGTGTTTACTGTGTGAGTCCTGTGACACAGGCAGATGGATAGGCTTCCAAAAACACAGGGGAAGGAAAATAAAAAAGCAGTTTATCTTTTTTTAAAACAAATATATACAAACAGGAAAAAAATAACGTTTTCTAACTTCAAACAGAGCTTAAAACACAACTGAAGTCAACAGAAGACCGCTATAAAATGAGTAGTCTGTGTCTCTACAAACTTTTTTATTCTTGATCCATAGAAGAGTCCACAAATTCATATTTGAGAACCATCCCTTAAAATTTCCGGAAGCTGGCAAGTAAAAACCTTGCTGTTCCAGGTGCCATCACCCCATTAAAACTTCTGCCATCTTCAGAGTCAATTCCAATGCAAGAATTATCCATGCTCTGTGCCACTGCCACAAGCAGCTGTCTCAGCACCAAAGGAAATAGAAGTACCCAGCACATGCAGCAAACTTATTTGTGAACCATAAGGGAGCAAATATGCATAAGCAGAGCTGGAGAGTCATGTTTTTGACTAGACTGTTTTAAAAGGCTGCTCATGGGCAGATTTAAGGTCCAACACTTAAACCACATAGACACTAGAACTGCTAGAATTAGCAAAATGTAAGAACTGATAGAGAGTACTTTTCATATTTCATCCAAGGGAAACAGAGGTGAACTCACGGTGAAGTATTTTCTGGAACACACTGAACTCTGGCTGCATAATTCTCCAGGGCTATGCCTGTTCCAGAGGCCAAGGGACACTTTCCAGCCCCCCAGCTCAGTGTTCTCCAGCTCTCCCAGCTCCACCACACAACCTGTCCCAGGGGCACACAGTCCCCCCACCTCTGCCACAAGGTCCTCATCTGCAGCAAAATGGAATACAAGGCACAAAACAGGGAAGGGAGACGCAGTAAACACCACTGAGGGCCACAGTCTCCACATCCTGGGGACAAGGACCTGCAGGACAAGCTGTGTAGCCTGGGATTTTTGTATGAGAGAGGTAGGCTCTAGAGTAGAAAAACTCTTAGGGATGTCAGTGAACTCCCTAAACCATTGGCTTACTGAGAGACAGGGAGCTATGTAATATGCTAGAAATAGCACAGGGGATTCCCCAGGGTTACTCATCTTAACATTAGATTTTAAAAGCTACTAATACTCAAAGAATTTTTCTGACATGCTCAGGAGCAGACTGGTGCTCCTCATATTCCACACTTGGTTGCGTTTTCAACACAAAAAATTAAGAAAACATTGTCTCAAAAGCTATTGGTACAGACTGTGGATTATTTACATTTTTTTTTTAATAAAGAGATTAACTGTAAAGTAAGATCCTAAATAAGATAAACAAAGCCTTACCTGCTTCCTTGCACAAGGCTGCTAAGTCTGCACCCACATAACCATGTGCACTATCAGCCAGCTGCACCAACTCCACCTCTGTGAGCGAATGGGGGACTTTCCTGAGAAGCCTCTGGAGTATGTCCAGGCGGTCCTGGGCATTGGGAATTCCGATTTCTATCTCCTTGTCGAAACGCCCAGGTCTGCGCAGAGCTGCATCCAGAGCATGGGGGCGATTGGTGGCCCCGAGCACCAAGAGCTGCCCTTCACTGCCTTCCTGAAGGCATCAAACAATGCAAAATGCTATTTTTAAAATACAAATTTAATTAAGTCACTAAATGCCACGTAGCTTATCAACATACTTCTTGCTTACTCTTCCAACTACTACACACACTGGAATCCTGACGCTAGCTCTCAAAACTTTTAGATTATAAAGCCCATCAATGATCCCATCCAATCCATCCCTAACTGCAATTTAGGAATACTATAGGCTGCATGAACATACAGATAATACAACAGAAACTACTCCAAGATACTCTTATCCCAGTGTCTTCCACCCGAATCCCCAAGAACCTGCTTTCCCATATCAGGAAAGCAAGAACCAAGTAAAGAAAAAGAAGTGTTTAAGCTAAAATGCAACGTTGGTACAAGAACAAAACGGTATCAGCAGACCTTGAACAAACAAGGTTGGGAAACAGAGCAGTTAAGGCATCAAAACCAGCAGAGACAGCAGGTTATAAAGCTTCCTGTAAGTTCAGTAGGAAAAGCACGGTCAAAAATCCTAACCAATTTCTTCAAGCTCTGCTTTTGCACATTTAGAACAAGGCAAGAGCAGCTAGGAGGTCTCTTGCAGTGTCATTCTCTTTTCGTGAATGAAGCACTTTTTCCAGGAAGACTATCCACCAGCCTTTGCCATCAGAAAATATGTTCTTCTGCCTGTGACCAGCTCCAGACTGGGCAACTCAAATGCTCAGGCAGGAAAATAATTAGAAACTTGCAGATTACATAAACAGCAGCAGATTATTTTCATACTCTGGACAGGTTTCTTTCATCTTTCCTACTAATACTCATAAAATAATTGATGAGAGATTGGCAAACTTTATGGGTTTAATCCATAACATACTCTATTAAGTTTACTGCTCCTTTAGTAGGCTTTTGTTTATGACCTAAATATTACTATGGCAATCTTGAAATAGCTGCTATTGCCTTTAATCACGCAGCCTACATATCACCAGAAGCATTTTGATAACTTTGATTTCAGAGCAATTAATATCTGGCTTAGATCAATGATGGGCTATCACTGAAATTTCAGTTTGATCTCCAAAAGTACAAGAGGGGGAGAAGGCAAAGGAGAGGCAGGGAATGGAAGAAACTTACTTGCTTTTAATCTCAGTTATCAGGAGACATTCCTCTCCTACGTCTTCTGCTTAGCACCCAAAAAAGCATTACATTACTATATAAAGTCTCACCTAAGCCTGTTTTCTTTCCCCCCAAATGACACATCTAAAAGTGGCTCCGCTGTAGAAGCAAAATCGTTTTGTTCAGTGAGTCCACATACACATTGATTGTCTCAATACAGTCGACTTACTGAGCCAATGCCATCCATTAACGTCAGCAATGAAGCAACAACTCTCTTTTCCACTTCATTCTGAGCCCCTTCTCTCTTTGGACAGAGTGCATCCAACTCATCTATAAATATAATTGAGGGGCGACTGGGGGGAAAACAAAAAAGGAAAGAAAACATTAAGGTGCTCGGGAAGATTTAAAACACCAAGGCAGAGAAGTGCAAAGCTGTTCATGGAAAAATATGCAGTTCCTAGAAAAACTAACAACCATCCAACTCCTTTAGGCAGCTACAAGTTTCAACCTTGAATAACGAGAAAACTAAAACAACTAATACATTAGACAACTAATACCTTCCGTATGCAATAGTCTTTTGCTCATGTATTATGAACAACAATCACTGGAAGTCTAAAACCTGCCTTAAGCAGGACTAACAAATTTGGGCAGAACACCTCCCTACTCCAGAGGCATGCTATATCCAGTACCAACACTCAGACTGACTTCCATGCCTTAGCACAGGGCTATGTTAGTCTCCGAAGATAAAACCAGACAGAAAAATTTGGATCCAGGTGAAACTCTGGCTCCTGCTTCCCTCTGCTGAAACAAGAGTACAATACACTGACGACAGAGAGCGAGCGATTTGGCACCATCTGTAACAGCCCCTTGAAAAGGGCAGCGTCCAAAAGGATTTATTTAATAGGCAGACTAGAATTTCACTGCCTTCCTTCTAGCTAAGCTCTACATAAACAAATTTATTTCCTTTTAGAAACCACTGCAGGAAAAAGTTACAAACTCAGAGATTCCTGCAAGTGTTTTTCTTCTAAGAACATTAAGGCTGGAACCGATACTGCAAACAAAATCACCCAGAGGAACGTACCGCAGAGAGGCTTCAGCGAAGATCTGACGTAACCTCGATTCAGACTCCCCATAAAACCTATAAGAATTAAAATAGTTTAATAAAAAACATTTTTTTTGGTCTTTTCGAAAGGCAAATGGGGGGAGGGGGGGCGTTCCAAAAAGGCCACAGCGCACAATTTCAGAGTCCCAAAGTAAATGCAGATCTACAATAAACTATTTCCACAGGGACAAGAAATTAAGGCCAAGATAGAACCATCTAGTAACTACAAAAAAGATTAAAGGGAAATGTTTTTTTCCTGTGTTAGAAACCATTTTATCTACACTTTTGAAGAACAATAAACAGTTAGTTCCCTGGAGACAGTAATCTGTGCAGTGGCATCTTAACTGCAAATATGGTTTAACAAGTTACTCTTCTTGTTGCAGAACTAACCTACACACAATTGCAGATGCAGTTCCAGTCTCCTCTTTAATTTAGTCCGAGTCTTACACAAATTTCTTGGCCAAGTCCAATAAACCTCTTTAAATACAAGAAGAAACATAAGCCCTGCTTGAGAGAACCCTTTCTCGCTTGTTTTTGACTCCTTTGGGCAGACAGCCCATAGCCAATACTACATCTATCCCCGCTGGAGAGATGCCAGGACAGATTTTGGGCTGATATATTTATAGAATTAATGAAAATAAAATGGGTGGACTTACTTGCTTATTATTTCAGGCCCATTAATAACAGTAACGTGAGCGCCAACCTCATTTGCGATGGCTTTGGCAATCAGAGTCTTCCCAGTACCTGGAGGGCCATATAACAGCACTCCTCGAGGAGGAGGGATTCCTTTGGACAAGCACATGCACACAAACAGAGAAAAGAAGTTCCTTGTGAGAAATGCCAGACTAAACCTGCACTTGCACGTTTCACTGTCCCAGTTATTACCAATAAATCTGACCTCAGCACTAACTTAACAGACGTGTCATCGTGATAAAATGACACCCCTGTTAAAGGCTTACAGTGAAAAGATCACTCTTAAGTGGGACATACATCTACGTTCTTTATTTTTAAAGTCTAAAAGATTCTGTTCAAAAAACAACTCCTTAAATAATTGTATTTTTCAGTTTCCTTATGTGTGTTGTGGTTTTTTTCCTAAGACATTATTGGACTGAGTACCTAACATCCATGAATAGGCTTTAAGTTATTAATGATTCTTACAGTGTCATTACATCAAATTTCCAACATCAGAAAACCACTTCTCTTTAACACTTCAAAAGAATTTCAGAAATACTCTGAGGCTTGATTCAAGAATACTTGCAAGATGATGAAAAACACACATCAGAAGGGTGAATTTGTCTATTTAATGGCAAATGTTAAGAGCCAAAAAGACAGAAATGTTCAGGCACAGCACGTAAGGTACTGCTGAGTACAGCTAGAGCTGGACAGAAAATACAGGTAACTGCACAAAGGGACTATTATGATCCCAGGTAAAGAGCCCACCAAAACAAGTTCCAGACCAGCAAAGTCAAATTAAATGGGCACAGAGCCAAAATCAGAAGGTGAAAAATTAGAAAGCAAAAAGCAGAGACAAGTGTTTGACAAAGGACTGCCTTTGGCAAAAAAAACACATTGGTGAAACACAACCAAAGAAACATCAAGTGGGGACTGGGAATCAGACAGGGAATGATGCCACAAGTCTGAATCTTAGAAACTAATACACCTGAAAAGAAAAAAAATTATCTGCCAACTGACAGAGGATGGAAGTAAAAGTGTCTCCAGGAGCAGGTTCCCTCAGAGCAGTCCAATCAAAGCATGAGCTGCTCCCTCCTGTGGCGTTTCTGGCACGGGCAAGAACAGTACTGTGGAACCACAGGCTCACCTCACTGCCAGGCTCGCTCCCCGTGAGCAAAGACTCACAGCGTTTGGATGGGTGCTAAAGGTTTGTAACTGCTGAGGAAACACCATCATCTACCACGTAGTTAGTAGGGAATCTGCTCAAGCACTTTTGGGACCGGGTATGAAGAATGCTGACACTGAAGCAAACTTTGTGCTAACACAAAACCACCTGCTGATGCTGAGGCTGGACCAAATTAAGCTGGGGCACACGCAGATGAAGATGCCTCAGACCACCTCAGTGACACCTGGGGATCACGGCCAAGAAAGAGCCACCTGTGTGTTACGGAAACTGTCCCAGCTGGAATCACCTCCTCTCCAGAGTGTTTGTGTGGGAAGAGGTAAAGGCAGAGCAATAAAAAGCCTCAAAGACATGATATTAAAGCAATGTTTATAGGTAAGAGCCCTATCTCACAGCGATGCACACCTAGACAAGGTACATATCCATTTGTGATAAATACACAGTACGGTTTTGGCTTTGTCACAAAAACCCTCTGAGTTCATATATGTGTTAGATATAACTTTATATATGGCAACTGTAATCATATTCATTTTTCCACCCTGTAATTCACAGAGGAAGGACTCAAACTGCTCATACACTGAAGAGTTTGAGTAAACAGCCCCAAAGACTTCCTGAAAATTTTGCAGGAAGCCTACAACCAGGGATAAAAACAGCAGAAGAACTAATCTGACTTTTTCTCCATTTAAAAAATATCATTAACTGACTCCACCAAAATTAATTAAAATCTTATGACAACTCAAAGAATTGCACCTTTGAAACACCCAAGCAAAGAAGTCTTTCCTATTTGCCAAAAATTCTGCTTATGCACACCTGAATTTTTGTACAGACACACATTTCTTCTCTGCTCACCTATTTTTCACACAAGCTCATTGTAACATCTTCACAGTACCCATACAGTATAACTATAAAGCAGCTTGACATTGTTTGGACACACAAGTATACCAGGTCAGTGTTACATAAAAGTCAGTGCATACTCCTGGGATAATTTGTGGTGGTTTTAGGGGTTTTTTTGTTTGTTTGTTTTTTTAAAAATCAAATTAAAGAAGAAAACTGGTATCAAATGAAGAAAACCAACTCTTTAGGCATCATACCGTAACTCTTGAACAGTTCAGGTTGCTTCAAGGGCAGTTCAACTGTTTCTCTAATAGTTCTGAGCTGGCTGCTCAAACCTCCTATCATGTCATAGGTGACTTGGGACTCACAATCGCCATCTTCTGCTACACTGGTCCTGGGTTCTATAAAATTGATCCTAGTTCTTGAAGAAATGAAATAAAAAGAGTCTGTATTGCTTATTGCTCCGGTTTTGCCCGTTACTGGGAGTCCCTCACTGCTGCTTTTCCCAGCCAACTCCGAATCCTCGGTGAGGTCTGCACCATCTCCCTTGCCGTAGGTTTTCTCTCCCTGACCAGAGTCCGGACCACTGGCTGTCACAGAACTGGGTGTAACTGGTGAGCCTGGATCCATTGGTTTGCTTGGTGTGCTCAAAGATGCAACCCCTGGACTATCACCAATGTCCATCCTGCCGAGCTGTAGAGACAAATCTAAGGCACTTGTCTCCAAATCAGATCTCTCAAGGTCTGGGTCACTGGGAATGGCGCTGCCCTGGGCACTCAGCTCTGCACCATCAGTTCCTTTCACTCTCATCACCACGATGTTGCACAGTTTGCCATAGAAAGTGAAAGCCAAGAGGTTTCCTGGTAGAACTATTTTCCCATCTATGAGAAGATGAAAGAAGAAAAAAGACAAAGGAGGTGACATTTCAATCTACTGTGGCAGCAGTAACGTTCAGACATTCTTGCATTAGAATAATTCTTTATCATTCATTTAGAGAATGCTGTTCATTAACATAACAAAAGGTAGTAACATAATTTCAAGGTAATTTCAGGTACTTTGAATGATCCCTTTGTACACAAGCAGACTTTAATGGATAAACATTTGTCAGCATCATATGTAATCACTCATACTAAACTCGTCATTAATTTGAGTCTTTTAAATTTCATACAAAGGGAGATTATTGGAATTAGTATTGTAAGAAGTAAAAATTTTGTATTTGCTGTGCACCTGATAATATTTCATGTTCAACCCACTTTCTTTGAGAGTATTGGCCTAAAAAAAACCAGGTTTTAGCCTAGGCATTGACAGAGAGATGAGGCAATGTGATCTGAATATACACTACAGGTACAAAAAAAAAACAAACAAAAAAAAGGCAAAGCATGAACAAGATTTCCAGCCAAACTCATGAATTTGCAATGCAGTTCAAGTTTCCTGCTTCCTGGAGTAGCAATAATGTTATTAATTCCGAGACTAGAAGATTCCCTTTGAGTAGAACGATTTGTAGTGAGGAACACTACCTTGAATACCTTACTTTTTTTTTTTCGCCTTACTTACATTTATCTACCACCCAATAAAGAGCAATTTTACTTATTTACCACCAACATAAAAAAGAGATTCAGAGACTGGGATTTCAGGCTAATACTGATACTTTATCTTGTTTTTAGTGTATAGTATTGCAGTCTTGTCTTCACAGTGCAAGTAGGCCATCAATGACTGTTGAACACTCCTAACTTGAACCAGACAAAAGTATAATGGACAGAAGGAACAGAGCCACAACTAACACAAATTACACATTTACAACATGGCAAAATTATTTAGCCCAAAAGAAGCATAAACAAAATAACATCCCCTATTTTGCCATAAGCCCTTGATTAAGAACATGAGAGGAAAATATTTGCTCTTCTAACCAAGACTTGATGACCTACTACGAAAATTGAACAGGCAAAAGAGAAGCAGCAAAACTCATACCAAGGTTTCTCAGCAGACACACAGACATTTCCTCGGCATTAACGGTGGCATCTTTGTCCCTGTGGTAGGAAAGAAGAAAATTACTTTTCCAAGCAATAACTACTTCAAAACCAAACCAGAGGCCACAGCACTAAAGCACCAGGATGACCTGTTTTAGGGTATATGACTTAACCCCACAAACAGAAAAGATGTATGAGTACTTCAGTCTTCAAATAACATCTTAACTCTGAAAATATTACACACACAGCAACAAAAGAAGTGTAGCTATTTCATTTGGTTTTGGGGTGGTTTTTTTCCAAAGAAAATGCTTTAATTAACAAAATGCTAAATTAGATTTATTGTTCCTTAGGATCACAAACCTGCAATGCAGGCTTCTCATCTCACCAGGCAGAACAGCCATTGCTACATTTACTGAACTGAAAACAAATCAGATAAGGCAGGTCTCTTTCAGCCCTGCAAACACACATGTAAATCTTTTAATCGATTAAAACAGTGCCTTGAGCACTTGCAAAACTGTGCACATGCCTTAAGCACTGCACATCCACTACCAAAACAGTACAAGTCTTCCCCACAAAGCATTTGCTAGTCTTTTATTTAATTAAGTGACTAAACAGATAAGACTCACTACATCCATTCCACAGCTTTTCTAAGCATTTACACCTGTACCTTCAAAGGCACCACACCAAGAGGGGAACGGCAGCAGCACCAAAGGCGTTTAAAGCAGACACGGATGCTGCAAATCAAGGCTTGGTCAACGGGGGGAGCCCTAAACCTGCAGATAAAAACCCATTGCTCAATTCTGCTGCTCAACAAAGGAACTTGGGGCAAAGAGCAGTATTAAGCTAATTTAAAGGAAAGCCCTTAAAATACCATGGCCTTTCCTGATGAGTAAGCACATACTCAATTTTGTTGTTGGGGCCTGAAGTTGAGGGTGGATTTTTTTAACTGGAAGAAAAAGCTGAATTATGCATGCAAGCAGTACCCAGAAGTGTTGATTTGCAGAGAATAAAGCTCCACCTGTAAAACATCTAGAAACCCAGGGAGTACTCGAATAATGGAACTTCAGTTCATTCTTTAAATAATGTATATTTTTACACCATAGTTTGTAGTAAATTACCAGGCTTGAAACAGACCAATTACAGTTTTCATGTTTTCTCTCCTAATTTTAGAAAAGTAGTAATTTATGAGACTTAAAAATCTGAAGGTACACCTATAAAACAATCCTCAGCGCCTGAGTCTTGATTCACTGAGTGGGAAAACTCTGGCTATGGAACAGTTTCCTAAAAGAAAAATAAATCACAGTAATCATAAATATTTCAAAAGCTACATGCAATTCCTCTGACCTCATTCTTAGCTTGTATTTCAGTAAAAGTTACAACTTCAAAAAAAGAATGCATTGCATATTAACATGGAGAAATAGAAATATATTAGTTTTAATTATTTAATTTATCACGGGGTTGCGTTTTTTTTAACGAAATGTGTGTTTTCAACCACCTCTGTAACCAAACAGCCATGTTTGAAGACAGAGGTCTGACAGGAAAGTGATGTTAATTTATAAAGATATAAGTGCTGGGACACTTTCAAAAGCAACTGTAAAATAACTTTAGGAAATAACTATAATCAGATTCTGCATCAACCCAAATGTTGACTCTGTGAAGTGTTAGAATGACAAGTACAGGAAATCATTCAGCAAACCAATAAACTGCTGATTTCTCAGAGCATTCATGATTTTAAGACAACTGTGATTTGTACCTTTCATTTCCTTTTTTGGGCCAATTTCACTTATAAACAAAAACACACCTCAGAGTTTGCAATCCTAAAAAAAAACAAACAGTAAATAAAAGCAGAGGACAAAACCACCATATATAAAGGTGAAGTTTTGAAGGGAAGTGGTTAAAAAAAAAAAAAAATCACTCTCTTCAACAAGGCTATAACAAGTTCCATACCTCAACTTTACATCGACTTCCTCTGCCTGGATGACTGCACCAGTCACAGGCTGCACAGTGACACCATCACCTGGATTTACTTTCAGGTTCTTCTGTGTGGTTTCATTCAGCCCAATCTTCCCACCTGGAAAGCCTGGAGTGGGCCAAGCAGTACAGACCTAGGAAGAGTTTCCAAAGCAAGTCAGTTGAGATTTCCTCCCCCCCCATTTCCAGTTAAGCTAAGCAACACTTGATTACAAAAATATGGGCTGAGGGGAAGGATTAGGTTAAAATCTGGTGCCACAGAGCAAAATACAAGTAGCATTGACCTCTTAAGACATGATTCAAGACACTCCAAGAAGGAAGGGGTTGTATTTTGAAAAAAAAAAAAACAGCAGCATGGACTTTTTCCAGCATTGAGAATGAAGATGTAAATACCACACAGAAAACATGGAAGAGCATGTTCACCATCTTTCTCAATGCATGTTCCATGTTGATCCCACTGAATACAACAGGAAAACGCTGACAAGCACAGGAAGAGCCCTTATGGGAGCAAGAAATGGTCTCACCTCCTGTCGCCCATCAGCTGAGGTGAGCAGGGCCGGCCGCCCTATGCAGAGCTCCGCGGACTTCATGCTGCTCAGCGACAGCTGCGCCAGGGTTCTGCGCAGCATTTTCGGGACTTTGTCATCTCCTGATGTTTTTAGGGGGGAAAAATAGTCGGTTTTTTCCCCGCTAAATCCAGCATTTCCCGCCCTCCCCAACCAGTACAACAACAAACCCCTCCCCAGCCCTCACGGCGCCCGCCCTGAGGGGAGCGCAGGGACCCCCGTGAGGGGGAACCGCGGGGCGGGGATGCCGACGGGGCTGGGAAAACACCCGCGGTCACACGCTGCTGCTCGGTACCGCACCTTCCACCCCCATCTAGCTCCCGCTCCACGGGAATAAAGAGCAGATTTCACGGGGGCCCAGCCGACTTTGCCCGAGAGAACCCCCCGGCCCCGCCTTTGCGAGCGCGGCTCGGCAGGGACTCAGTTTCAAACGAGGCGCCCTCAGCGCGCCGCGCTGGGGCAGCCGGGGCTGGGAAAGCCGGGGGTGGGGAAGCCCGTCCTCGAGCAGCCCGTCCCCGCCGCCCGCACCCCCCTACCTGCCTCCACGGCGTCGGCGACCCGCAGCGCCAGCGGCCCGCCCTCAGCAGCTCCGAGGGGAGCATCCCGCGGGGAGCTGCCACCCGCGGCCAGGCGCCCCTTGCTCTTCCTTTTGGAAGAGGAGGCAGACATGCTGCCCCACTGCCGAGTGGTTCCGGAGCAGAGGCCGGCACCGCCCCGGGGGCGGAGGCTCCGCGCCCCCCGCCCCGCTCGGTGCCATGGCGCGGCTGTGGCGGGCGCTGCGGAGGGCGCGGGGCTGGGCGGCCCTGGCGGGGCTGCGGGCGCGGCCGGACAAGTTCGGGGGGGTGAGCGTGGACCTGGGCGAGCTGCGCCAGCCCCCGCGGGTGGAGCGGGCCGCCTTCGGGCGGTGGCTGCGGGGCAAGTGCCGGGCGGGGCTCCCGGGGCAGCGGGGCGGGCGGGGGGCGCTGTGTGAGGGGCCGGCGGGGGCCCGGGGAGCAGCTCCCCTCAGCCGCCGCCTTCCCCTCACGGGCACAGAGCCGCGGCCGTGCGGCGGGGAACGCCGGCTGGAGGGAGCGGAGGGCGCTCACAGAGCCACGGAATTGTCAGGGTTGGAAGGGACCTCTGGAGATCATCCAGTACAACCAGGCAGGGTCACCTGGGGCAGGTGACACAGGAACGCGTCCGTGTGGGTTTGGAATGTCTCCAGAGAGGGAGACTCCGTGACCTCCTTGGGCAGCCTGTTCCAGTGCTCTGCCACCCTCAGTGTAAAGGAAGTTCTTCCTCGTGTTGAGGTGTAATTTCGTGTGTTTTAGTTTATGGCTGCTGCTCCTTCTCCTGTCGCTGGGCAAGAAACTGCAAAGCGTCTGACACCGTGCTGTGGTGAAACTGAAAAGAGTCTGGCACCGTGCTCTTGGCACCCACCTTGGGAATATTTATATGCATTAATAACATCCCCTCTCCATGGTCTTTTCTCCAGTCTAAACAGGCCCAGCTCCCATAGTCTCTCCTCGTAAGAGAGATGCTCCAGACCCCTAATCACCTTTGTTGCCCCTCGCTGGACCCTCTCCAGTAGCTCCTTCTCTTTCTTGTGCTGAGGAGTGTAGGACTGGACACGGTACTCCACATCAGTAGATTCCCCTGTGCCTTACAGCAGACCCTGACAGAAAAGCCATTATTTCACGTGTGAATACCAAGTTGTACCACATGAAATGTCAAGCTGCCAGCCCACGTCGTTGCTGGCACCTTCCTCACACCAACAATAGTTTGACCCTGTAAATGAGGTGAAAATACACGATAACCCCGGTTGTTGTGCGCAATAAGGTTTAAAACCACACAGATCAAGGGCAAGGGGGGGCTGTCTCTGAGCGGTGGCTGTGGCCCTGACCCTCCTCACTTCCCTCTCTTGCAGAGTCCGTGGCTCAGTGGCGGCAGGAAGGTCGCATTGCCGTCTGGCTCCGTGTCCCCATCCTCCAGAGTGGGCTTGTGGCAACAGCTGCTTCCCAAGGCTTTGCTTTCCACCATGCCGAGCAGGGCTCATCCACCCTGACGCTGTGGCTGGGAGAGGGGCCCAGCAGGCTGCCAGGGTTTGCCACCCACCAGGTGGGTGTTGCAGGTGAGTTACAGGAGTGATACCCACAAAAAGACTTGAACAAGCCCTTAGGACCAGTAGGAAATGGGCTGTTCCTCTGGACAACCAGCACATGGAAACCAGCTGCCAACTACTATTGGGGTGACTTTACAAAGGGAAGTGTGTCATTCATGAATGTGCTTGTACAACAGCATATGTGGCTGAAAACAGCCAGATGGAGGTTTCTCAAAACAATTCCAGTTGGAGAAAATTGTGAAGAAAATGTGGTCCTGAAGCTGTAGAATGGGAGCTCATGAATATTGCTTTTAAACACCATTCTGAGAAAGGTGTTGTCTTTTCACCTTGCAGGTAAGTGAGAGTAAAGATTTCAAGCAGTGTTTTAAAATGAAGAAGTAACCACAACCATAGAGAAATAAAAAAGCATTTCTCTGCTCGCTCTCCTTGCTGTAGATGCTTAATATATGAATCTGCTTAACCTATGCTCACATTAAGGTCTGTAAATGGGGACAACTTGACCTAACAGGGATTGGTTCAGAAGCTAAAACAACTATTAGCTGAAATTACAGTGGTCTAAAAGCTGCTCTGTGCCGAGAAGTCTGTATTCCAAACAAATATATTTTACAAGCAAACATCTGGACACCATAGTCTTAACCAACTAGAACTCCCACAATCACGGTTGGAAAGAAGTTGTTCCATCATAACTGAGAACATTTGCAAGGAACTAGATAAGATGGTTCCCCTTTTTTTTGGTTTTTTTTTCTTTGTATAGCACAGTACAAGGAACTGATGATGAGCCAAAAAAACTTAGCTTCACCAAATTCGAATGTCTTAGCACTGTCTCTCTGCAGAGTTCCACAGGTATGCCACTGCCTATCCCATCTCTCAGTAATCTGTTATTTGGAGGTTTGTTTGGACCCCTCGTGTAAAGGTTACTTTAACACTCAGAAATTATGGGATAGGGAGAGCAAATCTCTCCAATTACAACCTTGACTTGTTTGTCCTTGCCTCGCAGGGACTGTGTGGGACGTTATTTCTTCACCAAGTAGTGTTAAGACCCATAAATAGCAATTTGACAAACCTAGTTAGGAAGAACTCACAAAAGATGGATTGTTCGGTGTAGCAGCAGGTCAGGTGAAAATAAGTTTCGGGGAGAACGCCTTGAATTACAAAACAGTTCTACTGCCATCGGCAGTGGGAGCCTTCCGTTCCACGGCCAGCAGAGGGCAGGGTGGAAGCCGAAGGCGGCCTTGGGTTTTGTCAATGGACATGTTGGAGCATGTTTTCCTGAGGTATGGAAACCTCACCATTAAAATATGTGGCATTAAACTGGAGCAGGATAGCGCATTCCCTCAGCAGAAGCTCCGCGTTACTCCTTGTGGTTGTAACTCGAGTGCTTGAGGAAACGGGACTAATTGAGAGGGGTTTTTTTTCTGAAGTAAGACCTGCCCAGCTGAAAATGTCGTTTGGAAGAAAATCATGTAAAAGGTGTGTTGTGACCCCAGTGGGTGTCAGGAAGGACCTCGTATAAGAGAAATCCTAACTCTTGAGAGGCTCTCAAATAAACATTTGAAAATACAGAAAATGCACTTTCAGAGCATAATTTGCAGTTCCACTTTGAAACGCTTGGCACTCTGCAAGTAGGAAGAAGTTTGAGGAAAGGAAAAATTTCACAAGTGCAGGTAGATGGATTTCATAACTTATTGCACAGATTTAAAAACTGCAGAACATAAAATGTCTGTATTCTTTGCTATCACTTTTCAAACCTGTGCATTTTTACTCATTATTGGGAGTTTTTTTAAAAGGGGTAAGGAGTTAAGGAAGGCATTTGGGGCATGTAGACTAGCAGATTTCTCTGAGAAATAATGATTGCTATGTGGTTTTTTTCCTCTATTCCTCTAACTGTCAGTGGAGATGGAACACATCCCAAGAATACACTGAGCAGTGTGGCTACCACCTGGAATATGTTTATTCCATTAGCTTTCTACTTTAGGACGGAGAGCTTGGGTAGTGGAAGGGCTTCATTCTATTTTTAATTAATTTTATTCAAATATTAAATTATATAAATTATATAAATATGCTCTTTTATATTTTGTGGGTGGCAAACCCCAGGCATTTTTATTTCCTGAACAAAAAAAAAAAGTATTTCAAAAAGTATCTGCAGTAAAGGAAAGCAATTCTCTGATGAGAATCTCCATCTCAAAGCTGTGGCCAGTCAGTGAAATACAGGACTCAGTCCCTTGAGCATCCTGGAAATGAAAAGCAGAGACGTGGAGAGTGGTTGGCTGGCCAGAGGGAAACCAGCTCAGGGAGCAGGCAACAGGTAGCAGGTCTCATTGCCAAGTAGACCAGCAGCTGGTTTTCCTGCTGTCTGGAGTTTCCCACGCAGGGAACGCTGCACAGCCAGGGCTTGTGCCTCGGGATGGTCCAGCCAAGTGATGACAAAGGTGTGAATAAGCGAGGTCAGGTCATACTTGACCAGACTGGATGAGAGTCGCCAAGCAGAGAGTAGCAAATGTTACTCATTGGGCTTGGCCATTATTGTTTAGAAATAGTGGAACATGTGATGTGTCTCCCAGCTCACTCGCTGCATCCGTTTGTAGGCGGCAGGATTTTCCACATGTGTAAAGATACAGGAAAGTCTCTGGTGTATGAAGTGATTAACATGTTTTGCAGAAGCATTTCCAACATTCTGCACCTCCTGGGAGGAATTGGTCTGCCACCCAGAAAGGGACGTGTTTGTAAACACGCCACGCAACAATGGCACAGGCAGACAAGTTGAGGAAGGAAAGTGAAAGGAGAGGAAGAAAAGTTAAAGTCATTTATTCTCTTCTCCCTCACATGTAGTGTAAGCCTTACAACACAGCTGTTATTTTCATTGCTACCTACCTTAATCTACTTATTGAATCAAAGTCCTCAGAGTCTACACACACTGAGGATTATCGGCCTTAGCCAGTCCTGTTGCTTAAGGAAATGGGTAAAATGAGCAGCTGCATTAATGTGAAACTGCACAGGAAGGTTATGATGGCCCAAGGAATCAAAAGTGATTTAAAAGTAGTTCCCGAGTTGTTTTACAAATACCTGCTCTTGTCTGCTGCTATTTACAATGCCAGCAGTTGTGCATGCACTCATGTGGTCGACAAGTGCTTTTCAACACTGAACATCTTTGCATACATGTTTACATCAGTCATAAATAAAACAGGTAGGATGAAGATATTTTTCCCCTCCATTACTCATTACCTGGAGTTGTCTAAGGGATTTTGTTTTTTTAATGCTTACCTGTTTCCCAAAAGAGAACATTCAAAACAAAGCGGTGTTGTAATGCTGAGTACTTGGCTGGGTTATAAGTATAAACCTTTCCAGAAAGTCCTGGTGTTGGACGTTTTAAAGCTCCAGGTACCACATTTGTAGCAAGGGGGAGAGTTTTTAAAACTGCAGCTCAGGGCCTGCAGTCAAGCTCTGATCTCACTGATACCAACCAGGTGCAGCTCAGGGCCTTCTGAGCTACTCTTGGGAACACGAGACCAGACAGCAGATCCTGTTAGTGTTCTTCCTTTCGTTTTGCTTTGGTTTTAGGTATCCTCTAGCAGAGATTCTGATCATTTTAGTGACCATTTCACTGCCAAAAAATGACATTTCAGGGGAATAGAAACAGAGAAGAGAACACATACTTTCTGTTTGATTCAAGCTGCAGTTTCCTGCCTGCAGCAGTTCTCCCTGGTCTCAGCAAACCATTTGGCTGTACAATGGCTTTACTAGAAAACAATCCCAGTAGTCACAGCGTGCATCAAAGTTACTCCTGTTTTCCTTTTGTTCCCTCTTTAATCAGCAGAGTACTTGAACCTGGACACTGCTAAATATTTACAGGAGGAATGAAATCATACCGTCACAAGCCAGGGGGAGGCAGAAATGTGACTACTCTCCCAAAACACGTCCTTTGGCATATCTTGAAGGAAGACTGGTATTTCATCCTTTAAGTGTTCCTCCTACACAGAAGTCTGCCATGCATTATTAAAAAAACAGAGGGTGTTGTGAGCTGGACACTCATTCTTTAATAATTCCCTTCTGTGGAAATATTTCCCCAAAGCATTTTAAATGCATATATCACAAATCTGCCTGTATACTCTTCCTCCTGCTGTAAAATGACAGAAGCATTTTTTTATAGTTAACTACTAATTTGAAACCCATGCATGACTGATGTGGAAAAGAGCCTGGTAAGCTGCACCACAGTACTCGTTCTGCTCACCACAGGACTCTTTAAAAATCTGAGAAAAATGCCTGTTTTAAAGGAAGGACGTTTTTAAATAGGACCAGTGAGTGTGACATGATGATTAAACATGAAAGCACTTGGGTTTTAGAAAGTAGGAAAACTTGTAATCTGCAGGAGAAAGTCATGGGCTGAGCATGAGGACATAAGGAAAAATCAGACATCCTGAGGTTTTTTTTTTAACAAGTGGAAGTGTCACTTTTCCACTTGGAAGCAACATTTTTTGGTTAACAAGTTGACTCAGATTATTGTGAGTTCCTGTCATGAGTTCATAGATAGTCACCCAGCTGAACATTATCAGCACCGTGAGCCCCCTGAGTAGTAAACCTTGTGTGTCATTAACCAGAAAACACTCAGATCTTTGCTACAGCAGGTGGGAGTTCTGTCATGAATTTCACTGGAGAAAAATTCTTACCCCTTAAGGGTGGCTTCTCGGCCAGAGTCACTGGAAAATTTTCTGTTCCTTGAGCAAGATTACAGGCATGTCTCTGCTGCAGCTTTGCTAGATTGTTTGGGTGACCTCTTGATCTTGCATTCTTTAGTTCTGATATTAACACAAGCAAGTTTTTCTTTTCATTTCTTGTCTAATCTGGAACTTAAATGTTGCAATTATTTGTCTTGGTACTGTGCTAACTCTGAATTTTTATACAGGGTACTTAACCTTTTTGTGATATTTTATTGTGTATCAGTTTTCCACCAACAAAACACTTTGTGATTCATCTAAACAAACCTTGCCAACTGTAAATGGTATCATTAGGGGTTTGCTATGCTTTATCAAAATGCATTAGATTTTAGTTGTTAAGATTGGACATAGTTGTCCAGCACTGCATTTTTTCAATCTTCTTTCTCTACTAGGTGCTGTTCTAGATGAAAGCACTGGAAAGGTCCTGGTTGTACAAGACAGAAATAAGGTAAGTTTGTTACAGGATTATAAAATAGAGAAGTTCATTTAGATAATCTTGCTCTGTAGTATAAAACAAAATATATGTTTATTTTTATACCAGTCCAGAATTGTGATAGTTTAAAGTTACTTCCTTTTACGAGTGTCTTGGAACACATCTATCAACAGATTGCTGTATTCCATTTTAAGGGAATAAAAAAGTGCTTTGAAAATCAAGGCCTTTATTGTTAATTATAACAGATGATTGACTCAGCACTGCTAAGTATGCTTCTTGCTTTGAATTTTTCTTCTGTGACTGACCCAGGAGTCCCTAATCATGTGTTTGGATCCATGCAGACCTCTGGAAAACCCCCATGGCTCAAAACAGATTTTGTGAGGAGGTTGCTGATTTTGTTTTGTTTCAAAAATTCCAGGCATGTCTGTGGCTTTAAATAAGCCATGCCATGGTTGGCCATGACCTGGAGAGCACCTTAGTATGGCAAGTGTAAAGATCCCTAATTCCTCACAAACGGGGAATGCCAAACCAGAGCATTACTGTGGGGATGGTGGGTCATGTGATGTGGCTTGAGGTCACCAAACATCCATCACTGGGAATGTCTTCCAGCCCCCATCAGGCTAACCTAGGCTTTTAATCCAGCAGCTGCAGAAAGCTCACTGGCTCAGTGGCAGTTGCCTGTGCTGCGCTATTCCACAGAAAAGGCATTTAGCTTCCATTATGCTTTCATTTGCAAAGTGTCTCCAGTACAGTGAGATTTAACTGCAGTTTTAACATGAAACGATCCAGCCTAGGTGGACTGAAATACACTTGGATGCATCACTTTCATTTTATATGGTTAAAACTATGTCAGAATCTCACTGGCTGCATTTTTCTGTCTTTCCTCAAATAGCTACTAGGACATTTCTCCCCAGGACCAAAACATCAGTTCATTAGTAACTACAACACAGTTAATGAACTTCAATGAAAGGGTGCTTTCATAGGCAGGTTCAATTATACAACATGTTGAATTTCTAACACAAAAGACAAAGGTGGTTCTCTTCCTCTGAACTCCTTTCCTGCAATTAAAGATTTTTATTTTTTTATTTTTACTTATAATAAATAAAAACACCAAGGACTTTTCTATAGCAGGACCTTCAGGCTTACATTGAGAAACTACCAGTTAAAGCATGAACCTACCCCACATGCTGTAGGCTCCAGAAGTGGTTCCAGTTCTAGAGAGTGTCTAGGAACAGGACAGAACATTGTAAACTTTAGAAACATGACCTTTATTTATCCTTCTTACACACAGAAATATAAAACTGCATGCTTACCGTTTAGTAAGGATCTTAAACAGGTCTCAAAGAATATCTGCATATTTAGAAGGAAATAGTAGTTTCCTAAGCCCAGGAGGTGTGAGGCTTGACTTCTACATGTGTGGTTTTGTTAAAGCTCCCCCACAGGCATTTTCAGTGCAGGTGTCTCTACCCATTCTACAGTGACATCAGATGCTCTAATTTGGGTACTGGGTTCAATGCCATACTCACCAGGCATTACCTCTTTCACCTCTGGCCCCAAAACACAAGAGGACCAGTCTGGCACTGCCCTTCCCCGTTCCCTCAGCTCATCCTGAAAAGTGGGATATGCCAGGTCAACTATTTCAGCTCCCCTTTCCAGAACAAAGCTGACAGTGCAGCAGGTGAGGAAGGTGAAAGGAAAAAAGTGATTGTTTCTGACTCTCCTCTTTCCAGCTCTTTATTGACTGGGTAAAATTAAGTCTAAATGCTGAAGTGTATGAACATCCATACATTCCTTGTGCAGTGAGCAAATATCTCAGTGCAAGCAAATAGCTCAGACAGTTGTTTCCCGCTGTCGGTTCCACCACTTCTTTCCCTTCTCTTTTCCCATAAAATGAAGTTTCCCCGAAATGGTGTCTTTTAAAATAAAGGATGTTCTGAAAGCTTAAAAAAAATAATTAAGCAGCTGGCAGAATTTTAAGAGCTGTTTAAGTTTAATCGTGAAAGGACAATTCCACAGCACACAAAGATTTCCAGGAACCAAAAGCAAATCTGGAAGCCAGCAGACAAATATACGTATTTTCCATCTGCACTATTTTGAATCTATTACTTCAAAGTCCTATCCAAGCCCTTTAAGAATGCCCAGGAAAAAAAACATTTTCCAGTGTAGTTGTTGGGGTTTCAAATCACTGGAAAGCAGAGAGCTTCCCCCTCTATACTGCATGGACAAAAAAGCTTTTTTTTTGGCCAGTGTGCTTTTTTACTGCGTTAATTTTCTAGGTGAAGGGTAACTTCTTCCTACATAAACTTTTAATAAGGAAAGACATAAAAAATACAGAGAACTAAAGCCTACAAATCTTTATGCATTTGCAAGAGGTGCAGGGACTGGGACTCCTTTAGGAATATAAGTAACAACACCAAGTCTCCACGTTCTAATACTGAACTTTATTGCAATTCAATAAATGTTTCTATATATAAATCACACAAAAGCCCTCAGTTTTTGTATTCCATGAAAATGACAAGTTACACTAAATGATTATTACAGACACACAGAGTCATCTTAAAGCCAGTGCAATATAGAACAGTACTACAATCATAATACCTGTTGGTAAGATTAAATATATATACATTTTTTAAAAGCCAAAACCATGGAAGGGGAATACATTAGTGATTAAATATAAGATTATATTGTCTATAGCAGCTTTTCTTTAATACTCAACTACTCTATCTAGCAGCAACGTTGTCTAATGACTGTTAGACAGTTTGTATTTTCAGTCAGTAGGTGTTTTGTTCCAATAGTTCATACAGACTGTAGCTGTCTCTGATCATCACCTTAGCAGGAATGAATAAGTTCCTACTTCCTGCTGTTTGTAGGAGTCATAACAATACTACTGCAACTTCAAGAAAACAAGTCACATATTAATTATCTCCTTCATATTTGAGAGTACAACACAGGCTATATCCTTCATTAATGTTTTCTCCTCCAATACAGACTATAAATGCATGGAAATTTCCAGGAGGTCTGTCTAATCCAGGAGAAGACATTGGTAAGTCCTAGGAAGACAGGTCAGACGTCAACAGAGTTACAAAAACATTAACACTACTGAAATACAGCATGACCCACATCACTCCTTTGAATTTGTTTCTTTCAATTAATGGTGAGCAGATGAAGTGACATGATCCTGTGACCTTAATGGTAATTGGGTAACATTATATTGGTAACATTGGGTAACATTTGGGGCAAAGAAGTTTTGTATTTATAACATTTACTCTTTTCCACAATTTCTCTTAAGTGAGTGCTTGAAGTCAGCTGACTTTTTGTGGGCTTGTTGGATATGCTGTAATATGAGCCAGAAGTGCAGAGGATTAAGGTAATCAGTATATAAACTAAATAAAACTGAAACAGGGAGCTCTCGGCTCACACTGAAATCCAGGGCAGTGACCTCAGTGATGCACTGAGCAAAAATTTCCAGCTCTCCATTTGTACATGCAAACCAGAATTAAATACAACTTTTGCTTCCTCCCACCCTCATTCATTTGATTTGTTTGGACTAAGAGCTCTTGGCACAGGGCAGCATTAAGTGCAGCAGCTCGGTCCTGTGGGCACCTACTCAACCAGGGACATAAAGCTCTTCTGTATTAAGAAATAATGCTGATTTGAGGAAACCTCTCATTTCTGCCCAGCGTAGCACAGGTGATGACAGGCACTGGTGCAGTTCTGTTCAGTGGTGAATGAACAAGGCTGTTTATGAAGAGAGAGAAAAATTGGCTTTTTTTTGCCTTTGTATCTCACCCCTTAAAATCATGATCCATAGACTGGTTATTTTTTAAACTGGGCATTGAGCCCAGGTTTCCTGACTGTTCCATACCTTAGAAATACCTACTATTTTAGCAGTCTCCCTACAACACTTGCAGGGCTTGTATTCCAGTTCATTATTTCAACACATGGAGAAAGTTTCTAGTTATTGGGATATGACTGAATTTAGTTTCACAACTCCCGAGTCTCATTTTCAGTCTTTTTGTCAAACCCAGTGATGGAAATCAAAACCATTTGCTGGACAATGCAAGTACATGTAACAGTGAAATGGATCCATGTTTTCAGAAGAATCCCAAATGCTGTGGTTGTTGTCTAGCCAGGCTTCTTCTGACTTCTAGTGCCAGAGGCTCTAGGCCAGGAGATACCAGCAGGATTTTTGTGCCAGCACTGGCATTCCAGTGGGATTCCCCAGAGGGATAGTGCTACTGAGTAAGCCAGAGGCCACCCCTCAAAAAACAGGTGAGATTATGGTTGGAGCCTGGATGTAAGTATTGGAAAACACCCAGGAGAAAACAAGTCTCCCACAGCTCCCCTCCTGCCACTTCTAAACTACATAATAATAAAAGTTATGATTCTCTGCATCACATCTTATATTACAAGAAGATATAAATTAGTGAAGCATAAAATATAATAGAGCTTAATTTTCCTTTTTTTTAATCCTTACATACTCATACCTTATAAACTCATTCAAAGGACTACATTTTAAATTACAATTAAAAATTGCAATTACAAGGCTTGAAGATCCCGTGATTATATGAAGTGACAAAATACATGGCTACTTAAATGAGTACAAACTGACTCGTGCAAGTAATACCAATAGTTTCATAATGAATTAAGCAAAGTGCACACATTTTTGTATTTGAGTATTCAAGCCCTAGTGTTTCTTCTGGTTTAACTGTCAGTAGATATTTATATATATATATATACACGTTTAAATAAAAGGGAAACAGAAAAAGGCACTTTATCTAAAAGCAGAGCTCAATGCTCAAATGAAATCCCTAATTATCACAATTTCCTTAACTGTAGCCTGCTTCAACCTTTCTCATTATCTCAGTTCTTCACTTCTGTGTAATACAGCCCCCTGCCCAATAACAAAACACGGGGAGTCTTGCTTTGCAACCACTGTTTTAAACCAGGGGACCACAGAGGCCTCTCTGGGCAACATAAAATGCAATCTCTGCAAGGGTCAGTAATGGTACGTGAGTGTCCTTCCCCATCTGGGAAACTTCACACAGGTCATTCCACAGCAACATAGAAGCTGAGCTGAGGCAGAAGTATGTGCATTAACGTACAGTAATTTGGCCAATGCTGGATTAATCATTTTGGTTATCTATTGTTAGCCACTGCATGTCCAGATTATTTCCAATATTTGAAACTACCCCTCAAATGCCTGTTCTATTCCCCTCTGACATGCCAAGGTGAAAGCTTCCATAGGATGGCAAATCTCTACAGGTCTTTTAAGATGTATTTTGCTTTTGGAAGCAAGCCAGCACACTCATTTCTTATGGAAAGTGAACTAAAAGAAGCAGGTAACACAACAGCTCGGATAGAAGCAAGGAGAGGGATGGGGATACAAAGGACTGCAAGGAGGGTGGAATGCTGCCTTGGATTAAGAGATCAGCAGAGTCAGCAGCCATCAGAGTGTCCATGTCAAACCATGGACACTATTATATAATACTGCACAGTATTATCAAAAGGGGTAATTCTGCAGGATATACACAGGAAAGGCACTTAGCAATTAGTTTTGTTCAGGGACCAAAGAATTAGCTTATCCTTGTGCTGGAAAAACAGACTTACATCCTGAAAACTTGACGAAGCAGAACAGAGAACGCTTTGAGTTAGAGGGTTTCCGCCTTTCCCAAGTGTTTAAAGAATGCTAAGCGTTGCTCTTTCCACCCAGGAGACACAGCAGTTCGAGAGGTTTTTGAAGAGACTGGCATCAAGTCAGAGTTCAAGTCCATCCTAAGCATCAGGCAGCAGCACCAACACCCCGGAGCCTTTGGGCAGTCGGACATGTACATCATCTGTCGCCTGCAGCCCTCCTCCTTCAACATCAGCTTCTGCCAGCAGGAGTGCCTGAGCTGTGAGTGGATGGACCTCGAGGAGCTTGTCAGGACAAAAAACTCTACTCCCATCACCAGCAACGTAGCCAAACTCCTACTGTATGGGTACAGGGAAGGGTTTGATAAGATCGACATAACCATGAGGGAGTTCCCAGCTGTCTACACAGGCCTGTTCTACAAACTGTACCACAGGGAGCTGCCCGAGTCCTACAGAAACATTACATGAGAGCAATACATTTCACATTTCGTTAGATTAATAATTTAGAATTATTACTGCAGTGTTGCACATTAAATTTATTCATGGACTTCTTTTTAGGTTATTATTAGTAAGTAATTATTCTCTAATAAGCTAAGAGATAAATTATTTTTAAAGGTAAATATTGCTGCAAGTGTGCATCAGATTTGTTTTCCTTTACTCCATAAAGAAAGCATAACGTAAATAAAACAGCTCTACATAGATACCTAGAAGAAAACAGATGTGTTATTGATCTTGAAAATACATTTTCCAAGTAATTTTACCTCCACACACACTGGCACAAATAGGTTTAAAGAGCAATATAAAGACAGTATGAAACATTCATGTTTTAAACTGGTATCTGGAAAAGTAGTTAATATCAGCAAATAATTGCTTATATTTTGCTACTTCGGGGAGGAGTAGGAAAGTCGACGTCTTTAGTGTAGTGTGGCAACTGTGCTCGGAATCCGCCATGGGAATCAGCTTTTGGCAGACATGGGAAGAAAAAGGATAGCTTTCTGTCCAGGTCCAGTTTTTGGTCCAGGTTTGTACTGTCCAGTTCTTTTCAGTGCCACGTACCAGTCGGAGTATTTCCGTGATCGGTAAGTGTTATAGTTATTAGATTCCAAACGCTCAAAGAAGAAACATTCTTCTGTTGCATATTTCTAAAAAGGGGGAAAAAAAAAAAAGATTATTGGTATAACATCCAAAAACAATTCTTCAGACTCATGGGACTAACTTAGCAAAATTGTGAGTTAGCAGTACCTCTGGCTTTAAGAAATGGAAATGAAACATTTCATGACAGAAGAATGATAGTTATTTTGAAAATATTGTTAAAAACACCTACAAGAAGAAGAGGGTTTAACTGTGGTTCATTTGTGGTGTCTAACACAGACCAAGCAGGTTCTAGTTTGTTATCTCTGTGTAATTCTTTGTTCTGATCAGAAATTCAAACATTTAAATGAAGGACCCTGTCCCTTGGCACTCAGTGACTTCCAAGCTCAGCAGCTTTGCCATCTCATCCTAGGTTATAGCCAAAAAGAAAAGCAGGGTGTAAGAGAAAAGGCAGCATTTCCCTTGCCTTCCTCAACCCAACATTTTATCCATTAGATAAATAGCATGGCAGAGTTCCAGCCTTTGCCTCTCCTTTTCCAATTTCAAGGTTTAACTTTTCCTAAAGCTAATTCAAGTCTGTGTTTATAGCATTCCGAAACAGTCTTTTCAAGATTTTTTTAGAATTCAAAACTTGAAAAATAATGTTAAACATCAAAGAGGTATATTCCACACGGAGACCAGGCATGCCATAATATTCAGAAGTACATCTATGGAATTACTTTACTTCTGGAAGGAAGTCTTCAAAGCCAGCTCCACCTACATGGAATTAACACGGCTCTCAGCTGTCACGGTGGTAAGTCCACCTGCAGAACTGGCACTTCAGGCAAGAGAAATTATTTTCTCAAATATAAAAAAGGCAGAAGTTCAACACCCCAGGAACTTGGAGGGTGCATTTTCTTTTCATAAACACCACCTCTCAGTCCATCAGTTCAGTCAGACTCATTTCCCCTGAAAATTTTTGGGAATGCCAGAGGAGCAGAAAAGCTCTTCATTAAAAAGCAAGCGTGTAAAATACTGGGGAGCAGACAGGGAATGTGAGCCAATCCCTGAAATTAGCAGGCTACCCTTTGTTATCATCTTCTGTTAATATTCATTAATATATAAAGTGAGCTTGGAACAATTAGACTTCATACAGAAGGCACAAAAACATACAAGAGAAGGGTAACTCCTCATATATGCCAAGATTTTGTAGCTACAAATAATTAAATCCTTCAAGTGCAATCTAGAATAAAGTGATCTGTCTCCAAACATCTTCAAATAGAAGGGTATTTTCTCCAATCATTTTCAGATATGAATTTTTGCTTCTAAGAAAAAGAACTTGTAAGAGAAAATCCACCTGCAGTTTCTCATTTCTATAACTCACTGATACTTGTACATTTCAAATAACAGAAATCCCATTCACAATTTTCATGTTATTTTTATTTTATATAATCTCTCTCAAGATAAGTTGTACTTCAATGCTTTGTGTTCCAGCAATGTGAGAACAAATGCATTAGTCACCTCAAGCCATAGATCCAAGCGTGAAAGGGAGAAGGGCACAGAAACTGTATAAAGAAGCATTTAAAAACAAAACCTTTAAGCAGAGTATAGGCAAGTTCAGTACAATTGCTCAAGCTGGAAATTCAGGCAGAGACACCATCAAAAAAGTGTGAAAAAAGAAAGGTCTTTTTCTGCACAAAGCATATGTGACACCAGTGGGTTCCTACAGTGTGTTGCCAATGTAAACATTTTGACATAAAAGCCAACATTTAGATGACAAATGCTAATTCAGGCTTCATAAACTATGTATTCCCTAACGTCTGCCAAAGGAGACATTTCGGAAGCCGGACTGCTGTCCAGCAGGAGCAGGATGCCAGCCACCACACTGAGAACCTCAGCCCCTGGAAAAACCCTGGATATCAGTGGTTTTTTCAAATACGCTTAAGTCTAGGCTGCACTCAGAGCGCTGATCCAGCAGGGCAAGCTTCCACAGCACAGCGTGAAACACCTGAACTCTGCAGCCCTTCAGGAGAAGGATAAAGGAAGGGAAAACACCTGGGGCAGTGGCGGGGAGCGAGTTCCCCCTGTGCCTGCCCTGCCGCCAGTCAGTATTTTGTCGGCTGCCAAGCAAGCCCTCCCCCCTGACTAAATAAAATCCTGAGTGCAGGAATTTTCAACTTTAGCAATCCTGAAATCCTCAAGTCGATTCACCTAGGGCAAATTAATTGCCTGAAAGAGGGGCAGCAGCTTCCTGCAACAAGGTGGTTCTTCCCATATTTGCACAGACATCACCCACTGATTGATTTTTCAGTGCAAACCTCATCTGCCCTAGAGTCACACCATGCCAACAACTACCTCTGACATTTTGGACTTGGATTAGGAATTAAAATTCCTCAAGTTTATTAATTCTCAAAACTGAAGCCAGAGGATTTATTAACCTGTAACTACCACAGTGGATCCAGTACAGCCTGAGAGAGGTGATGATCATATTCAGCCTTTTCTAACTACAAAAGGGCCCAGAAATGCAGGTTATTCTCACAAATATTCCTGTAGCACAACTTTAATCCATAACATCAAAAGACAAGAATTTCCCTTCAAGTCGAGTTTTTGAAGTGAAACCATGTAAGCACAACAGACAGAATGAACAGGTCACGCCCTTTAATAACAAGTTATCGTGAAATATAAGTTAGTCAAAAGTTCAATTCTTCCTTTCATAGGAAGTTTGGTAAATTCCTTCATTAAACAAAATAATCACATTTCTTTCCATAAAGTGAAAATATTTTATTATTATAATTAAATGAAACCGGAAAGTGAAAATAAGCTGTATCAGAAGTGAAACGTTTCAGTGTTTCCATTAAAAATCTGATGGAATAGATACTTTTCTGCGCAAATATTTTCAGTTAAAACAGCATTTTCCAAGGGGAGGTTTTGACTATCTGCATTAATAACCAGCCATTTCCTCCCGTGACACAACTGGTAAAGATTAGTTCTCCCCCACAACTGAGTCTGTTAGTAAAGAGCATGAAACTGCGCCATTAAAATCAGCATCATGCAGCTTTCCAGACAAGAACACGATCCACTGCACCCCCACGCAGATCACCAGGATGAGCAGCGATGCACCGGCCCTGCAATAAATCATTCTGCAAAACCCAGCTCAGAACAAACTCTAAAGACATGTCTGCACAAAATAATTACAAAAACATTTGGCAAGATGAAAAGCAGGCCCGACTAGTAATTTGCAAAAGTATTTTTGAGGATGTTGATATATTTATAAAACAAGGACACTAAACGAATGGATGCTGGACATTGACAAGTAAGTAAAGCAAGCAGACATTAAAAAAGACAGAATAGTACTTGAGTGACTGGTGGATTAGAGAACTCCGTGAAGTGTTGAGAAACTAAAGTTCCATGACATTTTAGAAGAAACAGCCAAAGGTTTCAGCAGTGTTTCATCATGTGCACTGACGAGATCACTGCACCACAAAGGTTTCCAGCTCTTTGCAGAGCTCTCGCTGAAACACAGCCCTGCTCAAACTGAACGAGAAACACTGGCAATTAGAAACAGTTTGATGAATGTGTTTAGAGGCAGAAACGGTAGAGGCACAACCGGCCACAGACTGTTGGAAGTCACAACACAGAAATCCTCATGGAAAAAACATTTGCCGGTGCTACAGAAAACAGCCATGAAATTGCAGCAGCATTCATTAGGCTGGCTGAAGAACAAGATCTTAAAAGAGTAGAGAATTTTCACCTATGAATAACAAAATAAAATTAAAAGAGCTGTAGGTAGTAGTGTGCGCAGCAAACACAATGCAAGTAATACCCATGTCCAGAAACTAACACAACTGTTTTATAAGCTCAAGTGAGAAGCACAAAGTGACTCAGCTTTATACATTTTGAGAGCGTAATTCCAAATGAACAACTGACAGTTTCCAAGCACTTTGTCTTACAGGAACTAAGCAGCTAAAATTGCTGCAAGGAAGGCATGTTCTACAACCCAACCCACTATTGCAACAGCAGAAATCTCAAATACAACGATCCCCCCCGTGTTTAGAATTTTACGAATGGCACCAAACACCCTATTTTGACCATTCACTGTCACTCGGGTTAAAGAGGATGATCTGAATGGGAAGGCGAATGCCACCACACCAGCACCACAGGAAATTCCCCATTACCCTTAACTCAAGAATAGCACAGTGGACAACTCCTCATATTTTCTTCAACTGAGCTGTCACACAATACCCAAGTGATTTGAAGCGGGTCCTGTAACTGTACTCACAGGCATGAGCAAAACGGGCTTCCCGGAGCAAGAGATGTGGTGCCGGAGAGCACCCCGGGGAGCCCTCCTCCTGTGAAACTCCTTTTAGCCTCGTTTCACTGAGGCAGGAGGGAAATCAGAAGGAATTTCTGCAGCCCTTGGCATGGGTCTCTCATCAGCTGCTGCTCAGCCAGGGTTAGGAATGCACATTACTAACATTAGTCACTGGTGGCGACTTGCACAGAGGCTGAATGTTCAAGACACCAAAGTATCAGGGATTATTGCGAACTGAAATTCTGAAGGGATGAATGCCCTGCAGTGGTGCTTCACCAGTGTTGGAGGTTTGCCTCCACTGAAGGTTATGGATGAGAGATTTAAGCAAAATTAATGTAACTGCAGCTCTTAAAGCAAAATTTATATTCCAGCTCCAGGAGTCCTTATTACTTTTCAGAGCCGGCTACACATACTGGCTTTAAAACACAGTTAAAAATTCAGCTGATACAAATAAAATGCACAAGAGCTTAAACTAATACTAGTCTCACTAGAGAGTAGTTTAATTTATCTACGTTTATATTACTTTTTAAAATTTTATCATCACATTTTCAAAAATGTATTTGCTTGCCAGTTTTCTAGCTAGGAAGTAAACATGCCCAAAAAACTTGATTCTCTACAAAGAGGAAAATGAGAAAACAATTTATACAGATTAGTATCATGAAAGTAAAACAAAATAAATAAAAATTTGCTTTATTTTCTATTTTAAAAGGTCTTTAAAATCACACGTGTAAGGAAGTGAAAGAGGATAAAATTACTCCTGGGGGTAAGAAGGCAAACATTTCATTCTTCATCTGTTTTTATAACTTCCTTCTCTACATGATCACTATGATTTTTTTTCTCTCTCAGACAAGCCATTCCCATTAAATTTTGCAGCTTCTAGGTAGGACAGACATACCCAACTCTTCTTAGTTTGTAATTTAACTAATTGAAGCTGTGCAGAGCTCATTTCTCGCCGATAAATCACACACAGAGAGGCTGAGTAAATCCTGCAGGAGAGGAGGTTGCTCCATACAGAGCGAGGACAGGACCTACAAATACAGACAGAAACATGAACAAAGCAGTGCTTACCAAGGCCAGCAATCTGCCATCCTCCTTCATGGCCAGGAAGCGATTTGCAATCACACCTTTGATCGACACCACTCCTCTTTCTTCCGCTTGAAGCTGCAGTTTGACTGCGAACAAAAAAAAAGACAAAAGGAAGTTTTCACAGCCATCGTGGTATTTCAGCACTTGAGAGTGACTTGTCTTCTGCTTCAAACCTAAAACCAGAGAAAGCCTGAGCTTCAGCTTGCAGAGAAAATAGTAAAACTTTGAACCTCTAGCTTTTTGATGCTGTTTTTATCAAAGAAAACGCTTATTACAAAGTAAGCGGCTACCGTCAAATTGGAAACAAGGAGAGCGAGTTATTCCATCTTCATTTCACATAGAGGCAACTGAAACACCCATTAAATTCCCTGAAAGGCCACTTATGGCACAGTCAGCTGCTCGCAGAAAGTGGAAAATGTTCATGGCGATTTTCTTACTCTTCACAGAACGGCGCCGGACACTGAATACACAACAGCTCTGTACGGGCAGAGCCACGACTGAGACCAGTCAGGACCATATCGCTCCCTGAATGTTCTGGCAGTTCCCAACAGAAAAGTATTAGTTTACCTCATACATCCAACAAGTGGTTAGAACAGACAGACAGAACTGCAGCAGTGCGTGAGGACAGCAAAGGCCCAAGAAACAGCGTTATACAAATCAGGAACATGATTTGAAACAATTATTTTGAAGAAATTGAAGATTTTAAAGAAATGAAAACCTGTAAGGTCGTATCACATAGCATTTAGCTACTGCCTGTGAATTACTGACACAAAACATAAACTGATTTTTCTAGCCATGAATCAAACCCAGCAGTTCTGATGAACATAGGAAAGCTTTCACCTTTGCCTGCTTGGTATCCATCATCTCAGGCACCAGCTTCATTCACCCACCTGTTCTGGTGCACTAGATTCTTTGTTCTATTTAATGATGCAGTTTTAAACGGCTTGAGCTTTAAAGCCATCACAATAAATGCTTGAAGTGACTGTAAATTTTGGAGAAGGAGCAGCTCTCAAGATTCAGAGAGAGGCTGCTGCTTATCTGGCTTTTTGTTGAAGGGGAAAAGAGACAGTACTGAAGAAACCAACCAAAACTCCCAACAACAGGAGTACCGGGAACACGAAATTATTCCAGTAATTGCTGCAAACCCTTTTCGAGGGTAAAAGTAAAAAGTCAGGCACAAGGTTTAATTTCATCTCGGAATCAAGTGTCCAAAATACAGCCCTCCCAAGTCATGAGGCCAACATCAGACCCATGAACAGCTCCAAACCCTTCGGTGTAACTCCTTGCCCTCTGGGGAAGCAAGAACGTGGAAAAGTGCTCTGGGCAGGGACTGCGGGAAATGGACTTCTGAGATGTGCCCAAGCACAGCTTTCACCACACACTTAACAAGGAACAGCTGTGTGGAATAGCTGAAAATTAATATTAATTACTGCAGTACCGACTTATTATGCTTCGTGACTTTCTCTGGACAGAAAAGCACACGAAATCCTCCAGCATCACACTGGGCCAGAAGTTCAGATCCTGTAAAAATAAACTTTTAGGAAAGGTTTTGAAAGCCTGTAAAGATTTGTATAGTTTGGAGAAGCTGGTGAAGTGTTACTCTTTACAAGGGAAAAAAAAAAGATTTTCCTGCAGAGTTTGAAAAGCGCTGCAATACTGAAAGTTCCAAAAGCAAAATCAGCTTCACTGGATTTTCCTCTCCAAAGGCACATGAACAAACAGAGCCAGAATAGTGCTGTGAGTTTTTCAGCTTTCAGCATTATTTTATGGCTTTATGAATGTCATGTATTTGCCACAGTGTTGTGCTGATCTGGAGGTGCCAAGATACAGCCTTACCAATCACACACATTTTAACCACATGATCGACACCAGAAGCAACAGTTTTCAGTTTAACTCATTGCAACTTGGTTAATTGGTTATAAGAGAAATTTATCACTTGATACCAACGATCTGTATCTTTTGCAGCCCTTAGGTCACCAACAGCAACAGTTCAGACACTGTCCATCATTTCAGACCTACTCATACTTGAGTAGTATTACTCTACGCATAGTAACTCAAAACCAGATCAATGGAAGCAAAATAATTCAGATATTTGTAGCCCAAAAAGGTAGCACAGATTATTGTGAAAGAGCTCGTTAACCAAGGCCTAAAAAGGCCCTTTTTCACAGTTTCTGGCAGTCCTTCGGGAGGGCCCCTCCAGCACGGCAGTGAGTTATTTCACTGTTCACATCCGTGCCCTTTAATTTGCAAGGAACTCCAAGCACAAGGCTCTGGTCGATTCCTGCTGGTGTTGTGACAACACAGAACTCGGCCTGCTGAGCAAACATCCCGAGCACTGAGGCTCAGTCATCACCAAGTTATGAAATAAAACAACGTCCCATCCCAAATATAACCGAGGTGACCTTTACGCACGGACAACTGAAGGGACTCGGGAAATTTACTGCTCCCATTAAAGACTTGCTTTTGTCTCCTAATAAGCTGACCTGTGACCATCTCCTTTTTTATTGCCGAGTAAGAAGAAATGAATTGCAAGAAATGGCAATTTCATGCCAGCAGAGAAGTTCTGGGGAAGAAGGATAAAGCTGTATCTTTGGGAAGATAAAAAAATGGCTTGGAAGACACGAATGAAATAAAGTTAAGGCACTGAAGTATAATTCAGGAGGTGGATTTAAAACCAGTGTTACCTAACGCTGTTAAGAGCTCTCATTAAAGACTATTAGATGTAGATACACACACAGCCTTCTAAACCTGTAAGGGTAATCCACACTCAGAATTTCCAGATTTTCTTTTACACCCATGTGTCTTCTTGCTTGTAATACCATCTGCATCTCTATATGGCAGATTTATCTAAGGAGATGATCATTAAGTGGGAAAACTCATCACTTTGCATGTAGCTTGAGTGAACCTACTATGCCTTCGGGTAGAGAGGGGACATTTATTCCTAACAATACACAGAGGTTCTGGTTAGGAATATGTACTCACTGTAGTTTTGGCTGAAGAATAACACGAGCTACACAGCCAAACCTGAATTTCCACTGAAACCAGTACAATTTGTAGCACTAAATGAACCACACAGCAAGAGGCACTGAAATGCTCTCTTTCCCAGGGTATATGGTCAGGACAGATGTACAAGCTGCAGGTTAAACTAGCCAGCATATTTAAGAGAGAGTTACAAATGGGCATTTATTTCACAACTTGGAGACACTTTTCTAAGAATATGGAAGTTGAAAAGTGGTATTTAATAGCTTTGTGGTTGGCAAGGTTTCAAATCTCAGTTAAAAACTGGATCTTCCTTGCTTTTCTTAAAGAGCTCAAAAAAAACCCTATTTCCAGGGCAGTTTTGCACAGTCCAGTGGAGGAAATAATTTTAAGGACAAGTAGCACAACATGGACAGAAAAGCCATTAGCAAATGTGGGGAATACGGAAAACACGTACATTTTCCGAAAGTTCTTTTACTACCCTGAGCACTAGAACTGAAAAATCACACGTACGATGCAAACTCCAAAGCCCTTTCACAGTTCTCATAAACCAGCAAAGCTTTAGAATGGCCCAAACCCAATAACACTGCACTAACTTAAATGGTCCCAAATGGTTTCTTTGCTCTGCAGCAGAAAGAGTTCGGCCAAAAATCTCCTTCAAAACCAGTTCATTTTGAAGATCTTGGCAAAATCTACCAACTTAATGCCTTAGAAAAGGGGAGCTGCACATTTTTTAAGTTGCTCGCTGCTGAGCTGGTACTACCTTTCTCACATTCCCGGCTGGAATCTGTTGGCAGCCGTAGAGGAGCCTGAGGCATCCCAAGCAGTTTGCCTGCGGCAATCCATGTGCAAGAAGCCACTGCTGGTATTTCAGTCAGAGCAGCTGCACAGGCTAAGATGTTCTGGGGCAGGAGTATGCCACAGTATCAGTAAGAAAAAGGGAAAACAAAGGTCTGAGTGGGAAGAGAAAGGGACAGAAACGCATTAGGAATAAAACAAAAGACAAAAAGAGAAAAGACCAGTGAACACGGAGCAGGGTAAGTGTGCAGGACAGGAGGGTGCTGCACCAGAGCATCAGGCAAACACACATCTTAAGTAGGTGGAATGTGAGGATGTATTAGCCAAATGGATTAATAAAATCCGCATTTTCCTACTCCTCTACAAGGAAATGGGAACTCTTAACCACTACATCAGGGAGCCTTAAAGAAAAAGCCAACCATGAGCTTCTGGCTTTGGAGACACTTACACAACAAATAAAGGCATAATTACAGCCTCAGCTGTATTTTCACTATAATCCACCTAGCAAAGATCCCCATAAATAAGACTTCAATGCAGACTAAAACTAAGAGTACCAGCCACAGTCTCAAAATCCCGCACACTTCAGGTCAGAAGGATCCAGTCCAGCCTCCTGCTCAAGACTCTCCATCGCTTCAGAGTGAAAACCCTGCGGCCACAGTGCAGCTAACAGAGCAGCTCACGGACCTTGGGAAGAGAGGACAAATCGGATACTATTCCAACCCATTTTCACTGACATACAGATGCTTTATTTGAACTGAGAAGGTCATTAGCAAAACACCTCTCACTCTGTTTACGGCAAGGGAGAGTTTATGTACCCCCGAAAACTCCCAGGCTGCACGTCTCTGGATCAATGACTCGCATTACTACAGTTTGCTGTGGAAAAGCTCAACCCCAGCCAAAGGCTCAGGGCCCATCTCCAACATATTTGCAGAGGCCCCGTAAGGAAAACCCTTCCATGAGGCCCCCGAATGACACTGTGGTGAAGCTGCTGCGCCAGCTCCCATCACCCGTCCTCCTCCTGCACCTCCATGCCCACAGGAAAGCACAAAGCAGTCTCACTGCTACAGAGGTGGGGCAGCTCCAGAGGCAGTAAGTGTCAGAAATGCAAGGAAATTCACAAAAAAAAGAGGGGAAAAATAAGAATAAACCCTCACAGCCAAATCCCCGCTCTGCCGGACTCCGTGGCTGAAGTTGGCAGATTCCTTCGTGCTTAGGGGCAACGTCTATTCCCAGCCAGGTGTCCAAGCAAAACACACGGAGTCGGACGTGTTTGCTCCACACCTAACACGACAAACCCTCTCGAGCCCAA